GGGCCGAGCCGGGCCGAGCGGGGCCGAGCCGAGCCGGGCCGAGCCGGGCCGAGCGGGGCCGAGCCGGGCCGAGCGGGGCCGAGCGGGGCCGAGCCGGGCCGGCTCCCCGCGGGGCTCGGGCCGGGCTCCCCGCGCGGGCCCCTTGCCCACCGCGGCTCCCGTCTCGGCGGGTGGCCGCCCGGCCCCGCACACCCCGCTGGAAGCTGCGGCCGTGCCGCCGCTGCCGCGATGTCCCCGGCGCGGAGGGCAGCCGCAGCCCGGTCGGTGACCCAGTGCAGTCACTGAAGTGTTAGGGCACACAGAAATGTTTTCCTGCCGTTCCAGCCGGGCCCCGGAGCTCTGGTGCCGCGGGCTGGGGTGCCGCGGCTCCCCTCAGTGCTGGGCGCGCCGGCAAGCCGCCCTCAGCTGCTGGGACACCGCCAAAGGAATGGACACGGGCACCGCGGCATTCCCTGTCTCCTTTTTCGACAAAATCGGGACCATCCCCAGCTGGCAGCTGCTGTAACCTCGGACCAATGTGCCGACTCTCCTTCCTCTAGCAGACATCCCGGACTAAGCCCAACCAAGCTGCCTTTGCAAGGGATACCAAAAGGTGACAACCACATCTCTGTGCAGACAAATACACTCCAGTGTGACACAGCACCTGCCATCAGTCGCCCTTTCATTTAGGATGGGCTTTAAAAGCAAGTTCTTTGAGGACGTGTTGTAACAGATCTTTCAGTATTTTGCTGGGAAAGGTTTAGGTTTTTAATGCTAAGTTCTCAGGTGGTTGTAATCAGTTCCCCTTTCAAGCCTAGATGGATTCTGCACTGAGCATCCTAGATGGATACTACTGAGATGCAGTAGCATCTCAACTTTATAATTCGAAAATACATTCAAATTAATCGGAGTCTACTAATTGATCTCAGTACTTGCTAGTCTGGACTGGTCCCACAGGCTCACATTCAGCAGTTACTTCAGCAGAATCAAAACCATGAGTAAATTTGGGAGACACATCAGATAGTCAGAGCTGAGTATCTGCTGTTTCCATCAGATTTTTTACAACTTTTGGCAATCATCTGGGCTGCTTTCAGTGAAACAAAGCTATTCACATTCAGTTATCAAATACCAAAATTCTGCCTTTGTATAGGTCTTCGGCAAACCAGACAGTTCAATGTGGTTATGTGGGCTTTTACTGACAAACACTAGACAACATTAAAAGCAGAACTGGATTTTTGGCATATTGGATCACAAGACAGAAACCAGTTGAAATTTCCTACAATTTCTTACAATGAGTGCACGTTTATTTGCTGTTATTAATCAATAAAACTTCCTTGTGGACAGTGCAGGATCCTCTACAAGACATGGAAATACACACTTTGCCTTGAGAGCTTGGAGTCTAAAAAAATTATTCTTGTGTGACTTAATTGAACACAGTCATTTGCATTAAAAGACTGTAGTGTTGTAGGGAGGATCTGAATGTCGTGTACCTTTACATTTTCAGGCCCTTTGTGTGCAAAGTGTCACTGCCCAGTGACACTGCCTTAGCATTGAAATACGTGTACTTGCTACATCTACTCTGATTCTACTAGAGAGTCTACTTCTGTTTCTACTCACTTTGCTTTAAAAAAAATATTATTTGAAATCTAAAGAAATGTTACTTCATACTCAAAAGCCCTGATTTGTTCTGAAAAGCTGATATAAAGCAGAGCAGGACAATTGTCACAAGAGACAAATCAGCCAAGAAATTTACACTGCTATCTCCACCCTTCTGCTTGCTGCAAATCCTTAAATGTGTCATATGAGATTAGACTGATACTATGGAAATACTTGTGCCAACAATCAGAACTAACAGACATTTTTGCAAAGGCAGAATTCATGCATGAAAGATTTGTTTTTAATCTGCCCAAATGGAGTAGGTAATTTTATACCCTCCTACTGGATGCTGGAAAGCTCAGCTCCAACCTACTCCCAGTCTCCACCAGCAATGTTTGTCTCCAGATCTCATTGGCACAGACCTGTCCCCGAGCAGAGGGTGAATATAAGAGTTCACAATCCTTACAAGTATTAGTAAAGGGTCTCTCAGCATCAGGAGACTGTTGCCCCAGAAGCTCCACAGGACTGTACAAGGACCTTGAATTATTGCCATCTGCACTGAAACAAGCAGGAGGAGAAATATAATTAAAGAGCATTTCATAACCTGCATGGTTCTGAATTAAGGTTTCACTGGCAATTTCGTTTGGACATTGCCTAACTTTTAAATGCTTGGCTTTGCAACATTCATAATCTTCCTGTAACACCTGTAGCATTTCCTGGGCTGCTGAAAAGGAGAGTTGTTGGTGCAGGACCACACAGCATCACAGGACCTCCATGGGATATCAATTGTGTGTCCCCACCCTTGTGTGTCCAGCACAGACTTCTACCCCTTTTACTGAGAGAGAAACAGCAGCAGTGGCTGTTATCCTCCATCCAGACCAGCAGCAGAGGGGGATGAGTGTTGGAATTTGGATTATTCAGTGGATTCATAAGACCATTCCTAAGGCTATTTAGTATTTACACAGTTGTTTCAAGCATGTTTCTACAAAACAGTATGATTTATTAGGAGCTAGCTCTTACACAATGAACTAAAATAAAGCAATTAATTAGTTAAGCTTGCTTAAGCCAACCACAAGATCAATCTAGCAACTTCAGAATCATCTTTGACCGAATTCAGATACCTCTGATATATAGTCCCCCTTGCCTTTTTTTTAATTTAGTGGCTGCCAGACTAATGAATTGACCCTTTCTCCCTCAGTCATGTGGCCTTTTCACTACCTCCTCCCAACTGTAAAATTTTTGTCATCCAGCTACCCAAAAGCCTGCTCTCCTCCCCCAGGCAGGCAGCTGCTGCTGCCTCGGCCAAGGACACTCAGCTCCAGTGGTTTCTGTGCTGCTGCTGGGCAGAGAGCACAAGAGGCAAATTCTTTGCTGGCCGCGCCACCATGAAGAGCGGCCTCGGGGAAGCTCTGTTCCGCTTCCAGCGCGGCAGGTCAGGATGTCCCAGCAGCAGAGCCCGCCGTGCCCCTTCCACCCACACAGCCCTGCCTGCCCCGTGGGGCTGCTTCCCACAGCTCTCCCCTGCTCCTCCGTTCCCTCCCTGCTGCCTGCGCCCGACCTCCACTCCCAGACTTGGATCAGCTGTTCCTTCCCCAGACTGTCCCTCCTTTCTTGATCTCCAACGGGGCCTCCAACTTTGGTTCCCCATGCCAGGTCCTAGTCCAATCTCTTGTCTGGTTCTTCATGTCACTGATTTTCTACTCTCTTCCTTCTTCTTTCCTTGTACTGGAGCTCCGTTGTGTCTTCTCTCTGCCAGTTCATTGCCAACCAGTCTCAACATAAAACTCCAATTCCTAGTTGTTCTCTCTTTCTTTCTGTATCTCAGCCTCCCACTATCATGTCTCAAATCTCAAAATTTCACACTAGGTTTTACCTTCCTTTCATCTACACCTCAATTTATCTAGACCTTCCTGACACATCCTTTTCCTTTCCCTTGAATTGTCAATTTACCAGAAGTTTGGCTTCAGTCTCTTGGCCAAGGGTTGCAAGGAGTTTAGTTATTCTGGGGGATAGAAGCATGTTTTGAAGGCTGATGGCACAACACATTTAATTTTGTGAGTACCATGCCCATAATAGAAATAGTGTATGCCTTTGTCTTTCTTTTCTGTCTTGCTCTTGAATGGCACCATGGCTCCACTGCCTTTATTATGAGTAGACAAAAACTGGGAAGGCTGGACCACTTGGTGGAAAGGGAGAGAGGAGGGCACAGAAACCAAGCCTGGAGGATGCACATGGAGAGTCAGAGCCCTTGTCAGTGTCTAGAAGCTGATACTCAATGCACTGACACCAAGCTCTGTCCCATTGAAATCAGACTCTGACCCCCCCAGAGCAAAAGCTTCTGCTTGGGGCAAGATGCCTTTGCAATACAAAGAAGGATGCAAAGAAGGGGAACCTCAAAAAGTGGTTCTCTATTGAAGGACTACAGTACAGTAAGATGTTGCTATTTTTACTGTCACTTCCTTTTATATATTCAGAGCCAGGTCTGCTTACTTGAGTGACAAGAAGTTATTTTTGCTTTTTTCTCCAATTGTTTTTACAAAGCAAATGTATGATAAAAGGGCAGAGTACCTATGTTCTCAAAAACAAGCAGCACGATTTAGGATTTTAGAACTACCATGTAAAAACTATTTCTGGTCCTGCCAGCTTCTACTTTCAACTAATTAGCCACCTATCCATGTCTGCTAGCAATTTTTTAAAAAGGCTTCCTAGATCTTACAAGATCTCTTCCAGGTGGAAAGACAGGACATATCAGCACTAAAGCAGCACATCCAGAATGTCATGCATGAAGTTATTTTCTTATTTACCTGTATGAACACAAACTTTTTCCAGAATGTGCTGCGTCCTAACTGCCCCAAGGCCAGCAGTTCTTCAGTTTGTTTAGTGCAAGGGAAAACTGCAAATCCAGCAGGCTATCAAGCAAGCTAATCTTCAGTTATACAAACGGAGAGTCAACCAGTTCAAACAATTTATCTTTCAAAGTGAACACAACAAACAACAGAAACAAGCAAGAGCTTTTTCATTCACAACAGACAATAAACTGTTGTGTTTTTTTTAGTGTAGCTATTCTAGACAGGATAGTAACAGCTGTTAGAAACTCCTATTTTCCTCTGCAGTGAAAGACAGGGCAAATTAAAGGCTTCAGTTGCCTGTACTTTGAAAGGGGAGAAAGGCCAGAATGAAAACTCAG